CACTTCGATTGTTTTGAGAGCCTTTTAATAAGAAGTATTAACTTACTCAAACAGTTGGTAAAGATCCAGAAAGACAGGTGTTGCATCAACATAAAAAAAAAAAAATCAATCCATAAAAGCGAAAGCCCTAACTCTGGGTCACAGATGAATCCTCAGTATCAAAGACTGTTAACTTATTTGTCAAATCTGCTGATTGAACGACTTTTTTTCTGTTTTTTGTTTTGTTTGTGTAATTTGTTTTGGGATACCCTCAGAATGTCGCTGAGAGAAACGGATGAAAATCGATTTTAGACAGCTAGTTGATTATCTCTTCTGAAACTAATACTTTGCAAAAAAAAAAAAAAAAAAAAAATGAAGATAGGAAAAATCCTTTTTTTTCTTTACTAAGGAGATACTTGAACTAATTCATATTCTAAAAGAAACTAGCTAAAAAATATAATCGATGTCTAACATAATTCTTAAACACCAAAAATGAATAGTGATTTAAACTTAAATTCAATCTTTAATTAAGAAAAAAAAATGATGGATTCATATCTCGCTGGACTTTTCGACTCATTTCTCTTTTGTTGATAAAAACCCCTTAGTGATTTTATCTATTCTATTATTCGTATTGTCCAATAATAATAATAATGTAAACCATCTCTTCATGGACCAATAGACTACGTTTCAAAATAGAGTCCCACCACCAAAAATTAATAAATAAGTAAATAAACTTCTAAAAAGGCTCACGAAGCGATACTTTTAAATACGAAAAATGATAAACAAAATAAAATAAAAAACAGATGGAAAAAGAAAGCTCGCTAACTCTTGTGATTATATATTAAAATTAATTTCATTTTTATAATTGTTTCGTTAATTAATTAAAGTAACTAATAGAAATTAGACAATTATAGAACGAACACATTTTTTATTTAATTAAAACAACGACAAAAACAATCAAAAAACAAAAACAAATATTTGTGATAGCGTGCTATCGTCTGCCTTCTAAAAACCACATGTAGAATTTTTGCATCATCGTCAACATAAAATTATATTCCCGAAGAAAGGAGGAATAGAAGGAGTCACTACTAGTTGGAGAACAATAATAAAAATTAACGAGAATCACCCTCGAAATTTAATTTCGTTTAGTGAATGAAGAAGAAAGGAAGAGAAAAGAAAAGCATCTTCAATTTGAGATGACATTTTGATCAAGATAAAAAAAAGGAAGAAAAAAAAAGCCGATTTTCGTTCTTGCCTCGGCAGTCTACTTTTAGCCTTTTTTTTTTTTTTTTTAGTCAGTCGTCAGTTGACGTATTCGTAAATTCCGCGACCCTCCCTCCAGTGGAATAAAATGAAACTTGTATTTAAAAGTCAAAATGATAAAGACTTTGCAGAGCTGTCCATCACTCGTCACCCCTACTATTAATACCACGCCCAATCCCATTCAATCCCGTTCGTCGGAAATAAAGACGAATCCGTAGTAGTTCCGCTTAAACGGAAAGTAGCTTTTTTCTTTCTTTCATTCTCGTCGTACGCACACTTAATATCACGACGTCTTATAGTCGGCACACGCATCGGAAATGCTTGTGAGTTGTGTAAAAAGCAAAAACGAATTTAATTTTAGGCATGAATTATCAAACATTTTATGAAATGCCGATAAATGAAAAAAATGTTTTTGAAGTAAATTCACACCAGGAAATAATAATATTATAATCACCTGTCAGCTTTGGATAATCATCATCACTTGCTTTTAAATTATTCATTTAATAAAAGAACGAAAGAAGGAGAAAATCTGGAAATCAACACAGCATCTTCATTATTCGGTAATCTTTGTTGACAATATAAAATTTGTTTTTGTTTGTAAGTCCAGCTAAAAAAATCGTTCTCTTTTTTTTTTTTTTATTCCAAAACTGAGCGAGGAAGAGATCAATAAATGAAAAACAAAAACAAAACTTATTTATCTTTCACGAAAGGAAAATTCTTTAATGTTCAGCTGCGTCGGGAACAAGGCCACTTTTAGCACCCGGTGAGGATCACACTAGGGATGGTCTAGCCCTAGCGGGACAGTCTAGAAAACCATAACTCAGGCGACTACAAGATACTTTGCAAAATTTTAAAAACCGAAGTATACTTCTATATTTTTAACTGGCATTTGTACCAATTGGATCTATTGTTTGGAACATGTTTTTCACGGATTTTTTTTTAATGTTTATAATGTAAAGGAACAACGGAAAACACCAGCCACACATCAAAAGGATTACGTTTTCTGCCATCGACATAGTCATACATACATGGATTCACAGGTATTTCCTATACTTAAGCTGGCAAAAGGCTACTTACGTAGAGCACCCAACGCGGATAGAACTCAATAATAACCAGCCAGCCAGCCAGCCAGCCAGCCAGCCAGCCAAATTGTTACAAGTCTATAAAAAACATCTTGCATGCGAAAAGTAAAAACAACAAACACACGTTTAAATTTTTAATTCGATTTAAACTTCTTTTCCTGGTTTCATATTTTCTGATAATTATTTAGTAATAAGATAAAGATACTTATTAAATTTAGACATTAATTTCTGAATGAATTTTAGGTTGATAGTAACACTTATTAAGATTTTGAATGAAATTTGCTTGAATTTTAAGAATTTTTAGAAATTTACACAAAAAAGTACTTAGGCATTTTTGAAATTTTAAAATAACATTGAGAACTGAATATAAATTTATTTAAGGCTCCTAGTTCCAACCCCTATTCTTTCTCATTTGTAAGGATTAACTGTTGATTTCGAAAAATTTTTTAATATTTTTATATTCATTGATTTATTCAAAAACAGAAAGTTCCGATGTTATATATAGACGTGGCTCACTGCGTTATGACGTCGTTATTTTGATCAGCTGTCACGAGTGAAAATTGGAATAATTTGGTTGCAGCCAATTATTTTATGTTTAGAATTACTGAGATCTCTTAGAATATATTCAAAGAATCATTTTACGGGAATTCAAAACAGATAACTATATATATCCAACATCTACATTCTATCAGTAATTGGACGCATTTTAAATTTACAAAACGAATAAATGAAAATAATTTTGTTCTATAAATCAATTGGTTCTGTTTCGTAACACTAAAACGGAATAATTCTTTTTTTAACTTTGAATTTATGACATTTTCATTTTGTTGTGGTTTGTTGTTGATTAAAAATACAAAACCTATTTAGAGTTTAGATCAAACAAGACATGATTTTAAGTTGAAAATATGGGCGAAGACTTACATAGTAAGTAATTCTAAAAACGTGTAAATCTAAAATCAGAAATTATTATAAATTCATCCATGCAATAAAACATTAAATACAACCTAATAAATTTTTATTTGCAAAAACTTATACAAAACTCCACATCCTTCAGCAATGCTTATGAGAAATTTTAACTATTAATTAATTATTAATTAATTTTAACTTTTAATTATAAAAAGGTATTCAATTTTCTTACTGTTTTCTCAATTATCGACTTTTATTTAAAATAAATGAATTTTTATTCTCGATTATGTTACTATTTTAATTGTAATTAAATTCTAAAACGAATAATTTTAAAGTCTTTGCTTTAAATTAGAGTTAAATTTGGGAAAAATAAATCCTTTTTCTGTTTTCCTGTAAAAAAAAAATCATTGTTCTTACTAAACGGAAAAATATCTTGTCGAACTTTTGCTGGCTAACATTTAAATATGACATTATCATTATCAAACACACATCCTCATTTCACTTAGTTTTCTCTGTTACATTCAATATTATTTAAAAACGCCATCATTCTTCCAGTTTACCTATGACAGAAACAGATAAATGATGTACAACTGGCGATATTTAGTGAAACTTGTAATGAGTGTATTATTAATCTCTTGTAGCCTCTGTGTACTTACACATTCCATTAGAATGCTCTTTTACTATAACCAGTCTTCAAGCAAATCAGGTGATCTCAGCAAAGAACTCGAAGCTTATAGTCTTAAACTGAAAGAAATACGACCATACGAAATCTCCAAGTACCAACAACAAAGAAGACGTATCCAAAGAGAGCTTTCCCAGCAACCGGCTGCTCATTGTTTTCACATCTGGGAGGAATCAAATTCGGCCTTGGCCGAAATTGACCTAAACAACATTTGCAGTAACGAAAATTGGTCCCTTCTGGATCATACGTGGCGGACAAATAAAACCCCTTCATCTTTTTTCCCATCACCAGTTTTTTCACCTGAATCAACGAATTTCTTACCCTATGGCCCGCACCGTCGACTTACCACTCACAATCTTCATTCCTTCAAGCGGATGTTGCATAAAAAATCTCTCTTATCCAAAAATGAAAGCTCATGTTTTCAGAGGTGGATGACTCTTCTGCGTCACCGCCTAGGCAATACACGACTGGGGGACTTGATGATTCCAGGCACACATAACAGTGCATCATTTTCTGTGTCCCCCAACGGTACCCTGATTGAAAAACTTTGGGTGTCTCGCCTAGCACTTTCTCTCGGCTTCCATGATTATTTCAGTTCATGGGCTCGAAACCATGACGACAGTATCTTAGCTCAGCTCAATGCTGGATACCGATGTCTTGACTTACGGGTAGCCGTTTTACCCAACGGAGGATTTTACTGGTGGCACGGAATCTCTGGAGAAGCCATAGATTCCGCTCTGAAAGACATTGCAGACTTTGCACGTAGGAATCCAGGTGAGATCATCATTTTGCTAATATCCCACCTGAATGCCCCCGGGGATGGAGAAATGGAAAAACTTCCAATGCCTTATCATTCGAAACTTAAACTTGGTCGGCATTTGTTGTCGATTTTGGGTTCTACCTTAGTACCAACCAGTAACATTTCGTTAAATCCAACAATTTCTAGTGTTCTCACCACAGGTCGAAACGTAATTGCTCTTATAAGAGATGATCTGGATCTTGTGAACGCCTTCCCGGAGTATTTCTGGAGTGATGTAAACAATCAAACAGCTGTGGAGTTTTTTGAACGAAAGACAAACCCCCGGAGCATGTTTCACCATCGGTCGGATATAATGCAGAGGTACAAGCATGAGTTTGCCGATCGTATGTCGATAACACCGGCGTTTGTCACGCACAATGTACCGAACATTCTGGGAGGATTACTGCGAAGTTCTCGCGTGGGTTGGATTTTAACCTTTGTTTTTATCTTCACTTTTTACACGCTAGCCACATTGTGGCCATACCGTCGTTTCCCCCATTCAACCTTCTATTGCCGGCTCGAATTCCGCAACGTGGTCAGCGTGAAATGTTGGGGGAGGGCTGCAAAGATACCAGTTAAGTTTGTGCTGCTTAGTGTTCTATACACAATGGTTATCTCTTTGTCTGTGTCTCTTGCCCATTTACAGCAGAGGACGATACTTCACTTTTTTGGATTTGAAGGGAAAGCCACGAACTTGCTGGAGATGGCAAGAATCGCTAATCTTTGCGGCGATGACGCATCTCGGCCTGTTAGGGACATAATGTATCAAAGTATAAATTCTATGATACGTCATTGGTCGGATCGTGAACAGGAATACAGATTAAACATTGTCTTAGTTGACGATTTCTCATCCAGCCAAGTTGTGCAGACTGCAATCCAAGAGAATATTAGACGTACAGACAGACTGACCGCCGTACGCAGCCAACAGTCACATTTACAAAAAGACGATTTTATTTTTAACAAAGACAGAAAAAATAAAAATCGAGTTAATTCCAAACGCAGAAGCCACAGACGATGACGAAGTCTGTAGCTTAAGAAGATTAAAATACGTGAAATTTTGTGTAATTAAAAAAAAAAAATTGATGTCACCTTGTCAACATTAACAATTATGACATCTGTTAATATTGGTTTCGGTGCAAGACAATCACAGAACTAATATATATGATTGCAGCATTGAAATAATTTTTGGCATCGAAAGTTTCTGTAGACAAATGTTTGCATATGACTTCTTTAAATACAAAGTAGATTTTTTTAAATTCCTGTTGTTGCCAAGTTTTATAAAATTTTAATTGTCAGTTAAAATTTCCTACATATCTCTTGTTTATTATAATATATTCATGTTGGTCTGCCTTGTGTCAGAAACAGTTGCATATTTTCTATTGGCATCAATGATGAAGCCAAGGTAAAAGGCAGAAATTTAAGTGTTTCTATTGATGTTTATATTATTCTATCAAAAGTTACTAATGCCTATATTATTGTATAAATACAAATTATTAGATCAATGTGTTTGTTATTTATTTGCAAAGTATTACATTACAGTGTGTACGTATTATGTTTACGTAAATTAATGTATTTGTGTGTGCAGGTAAAAATGATTCAGCACCTGTGTATGAAAATTTGTAAATTTCTATATGTGGTTGTTTCATATTACTATAAATGTTATTTTTAGTGGATACATGTATCCATTCAAAAATTACTTTTGTTTAAGTTTGGGGCGCGAGACTGAAGCTAGCGGATAGAGATTGGTAGAAGACCCAACTTAAATACGTAATTCAAACCACATTCTATCAACGCGGTCAACGTAGCCGAATTGGTAAAGTCGCGTTTCAGCTATAGGTAACGTTTTCCCGTATGGAAAACGGGACGATGGTTCGGTTCCTGTCGGAAGCACAATTTTTTTTTAAAAAGTAAGAAACGTGCCACATGAAATCTTTTCCACTTTGTCATACATCTTTCTTCCAAAAACTGTTCTTGATACTGGTATAATACTTACTGTATACTTTTGTAGCCACCATATATATATATATATATATATATATATATATATATATATATATATATATATATATATATATATATGTGTGTGTGTGTGTGTGTGTGTGTGTGTGTGTGTGTGACGCAGAAAGAACTCCACTACAATGCCTACAACCACATCATTAATAAATATAGCAAAAAAAAAATCTGATAAAATGAATCTGATGAAAACAAACTCAAATACCAGAAATTAGAGATCTACACATAGATAGATAGTGTAAGATATGGAAAATATATATATGTGTGCACAATATGTTTGATAGAACATATGTAAATATAAAAGGAGTCACCGAAGTCAATACTGATCGGAAGCAACCTGCATTATAATAAGAAAGGAAAGATGGGTAATATGACACTCACAGGACTTAGTGAAGGCACAAGAGTCAATGGTAAACAGCAACCTACGTAATATTATTAGGTTGAGTCATAAGTAATTTATATTTTGGGGGAACACTTGTAATGACCATTGTACCATGCTAACTATTAATTCCATGCGTCGGTTAAGGATAAATATGGAGTGCACGAACCTAGCTTAATTTTTTTAATCCACTGTCAAATAGTGGATTAAAGGAACATGTTTTTTCTCCTCCATGACAGCTCAAGGCCACATACACCAAAAATAACCCAGGAAAAACATTTGGAACTCATTTGGTCTGTTCTTTCGCAGCCACCATATTTACCTGACTTTTTTGACCAACTCATTATGACTTTTTTGATCGTTGCTAAACGTTTTGATGGGAAGAAAATGTCTTTAGTATAAATCAGATTCAAGAGTTCGTCAAAATTTTTTCACACTAAATCCTGCATAATTTTACTCAAAAAGAAATCAAAGAGACACCGGAAAAATGGTTAGAAGTCATTGCAAATAATAATGAATATATAATTGAATAAAATCTAATGAAACTTTACTTTTTGAAGAATAAAGCAGAAATTATTTATGACTCAACCTAATATATACAATATCTTTTTTTGTCTGATTATTTTGTCCTTGATATGATCTTTTATTTGTTGTAGCGGAAATATAATTTAATATAATTTCTAGGAAGTTGCAAGAGACAACAGAAGATTTAAAGAAATTCAAGATATATGACCCTGGATCGAAAATGCATGACAACACAAAATTTCTATGTACCTTTACAGAAAAAGAGTTTAAGATGCTCCCTCTCCACGCTGAAATAAGAGAATGACGACTTTTTAAAATCTATCTATCTATCTATCTATCTATCTATCTATCTATCTATCTCCCCTGCTTTCTATATCTATCTATCTATCTATCTATCTATCTATCTATCTATCTATCTATCTATCTCCCCTGCTTTCTATATCTATCTATCTATCTATCTATCTATCTATCTATCTATCTATCTATCTATCTATCTATCTATCTCCCCTGCTTTCTATATCTATCTATCTATCTATCTATCTATCTATCTATCTATCTATCTATCTATCTATCTATCTATCTCCCCTGCTTTCTATATCTATCTATCTCCCCTGCTTTCTATATCTATCTATCTATCTATCTATCTATCTATCTATCTATCTATCTATCTATCTATCTCCAAACAAAAATATGAAGCTAATATCAACCAACTACTTCCAAAATCTGACCAAAAGGCCGAAAATAAAAAATTCTTAGAATTTTTTCTTGTTTGAGCCGAAAACATTTTAGCATACTCTCGTGCTCATATATATGTATGTGACTTCTACTTTACAGTTTCTTTGCTCGCCCTTCCCATCTGTGGCTCTCTCTTCCGTTTCCTTTTCTTCCCTGATAAATACAATCTTCAAAGGTATAAAGGCAACGTCACACTCTATTTTCGGTTTTCTTGAACCTCGCTCTTCTTTTGTCTTTTCCTCAATCCTCCCTATTCTCAGTCTTCTCTTTTACTTTCACTCTCTGTAGCCTCTGCGTACTAGTAGCATTACCACCTTGCTTGGGGTGAAATGATTAAAAAAAGAACATTTGCTATCTAAATATACCGAATATATATATATATATATATATATATATATATATATATATATATATATATATATATATATATATAAAGAAATATAGTTTTAAGGTGTGCTACATTTATGGGATAAAGTGCTCAGTATCATAGATAGAGCGTATGTAAATGTATAAGGTGGCCTGACGATTGCGTCTAGCATGAAACAACCTGTCGCCTCTGAGTGTTGACTTCTATGTTCACTTTTATATCTATCTATCTATCTATCTATCTATTTATCTATATATCTATATCTACACACACACACACACACACACACACACACACACACACATATATATATGTATATATGAATGAATATAACGACATATCTCTTTAAATAATTTAGACAAGTTTTGTCTACTTATTTTTAATAGGATCATAACGTAATTACGGATACGTCTTTTGTGTCATTATTAAAGGAAGAAAATTACCATGTTGATGCATATTTATTTTATTCCGAATACTTTCAAAATTAGTACAATGTCGTCATCAGGATCTTGTTTTTTTAAGATAAAATTGTTGTGTTCATTTGAAAATTAAATTTTTACGTGTGAATTGAAAAATGCTAAGGTTATGTACTGTACAATTTTTAAAATTTATCATGTCGACATGCGTGCAAACGTCAAGGGCGGTAACTAAGTTATTGAAATATCTAAATATTTAAAAATAAAAGAAACCTATTAGGTAAAACCTAGATATTTTAAGCTATGTATTGTAAACATTTTAAAACATTTGTGCAGTATTCATAATTAATTTTATTAAGGGTTGATTTCAATTTTTTTAAAATAGATAGCTTCAAATATTTTTAGTTTGTCAGAGAAAAATGATGAACACAAGATCCTGATGACAACACTGTGCTAATGTCGAAAGTACTCGGATTAAAATGGATATGCATCAAGATGGTAATTTTCTTTCTTCCTTTAATAAGGATACTAAGAAACTTGTCAGTAATTACGAGAGGATCCTATTAAAAAGAAGTAGACAAAATTTTTCTAAATTATTTAATGAGACATGTCAATGAAAACATGCTGCCAGAATATACGCATATATATATATATATATATATATATATATTGATAATATTAGTGGTCTCTCTCTCTCTCTTTCTATATATATATATATATATATATATATAATAAATTCCAAGAGTATAGAATCCAGGTAGAACTCAATGTCGAGGACAGAGTAAGAATATAAAATAAAAGGCCTAAACACGAATATTCCATGGTTATAATTTATTACATTGGAATACGTGATTACGATTCAATGTAATAAATTATAACCATGGAATATTAGTGTTTGGGCCTTTTTATATTATATATATATATATATATATATATATATATATATATATATATATATATATATATATAAATAAAAAAGACGAGCAGGCACGCATACACATACGCATCCATATGTGTGTATGCGTGTATGTGTGTGTGTGTTTGCGTATATGTGGGTGTGTTTACTTGTTTCGGGGATAAGAGAGCTGTGCTGCGTATTTTTTGCTGACGCCAGTCATGAAAGTTCGAGCCTCATTAAAGTTCAGCATTTGGAATTCGGATTTTCAATTCAGGTTGATTCTCATAAGTCTCAAAAGAGTGGCGCAACACAACCTTCCTATTCCAAATCCCTCCTCAATTTATGCATAGTAAACATCTGTAATATGAACCTCGGGACCCTTTCTTTGGCTATATGTGAAGTGAATGCTAAATGCTGTCAAACTGCGTAAATATGACTAACGATTTGACTTCTTTGAAGACCAATATTATTTACAGAATAATTTCTCAATAATTTTCAAATTTCTCACTTTGCTGAATCGAGAAATTTGACTAAAAAAAAAAAGAAAAAAGAAATGATTAAAGAATATATATATATATATATATATATATATATATATATATATATATATATATATATATATTAATAGGAAACTGACTCATCAGGTTTCGCTTTTAATTAAATATTGGTGCAAATTTCAATATAAGTTCCTTTTTAAGCTAATCGTTAATATTAATGAAAGTCAAATGAAATTATGTCAAGTCCTTGTAAATAGTCAGTGTACCATAATGAGTCCTTCACGACATTTCTCTAGGCAATGGAGTCACTTGGCTGATTATTAAAACCTATAAATGTACTAGGTTGAGTCAAATAATTACCATTTTTTTATCAACTTTATTCATCAAAAAATAAGGTATTGAAACAATTGGTAGTGTATGTCACCACTATTGCCAATGAGAGTTTGTTGGTTTTTTTTCACAGTGATATTCACCCTGAAAAGGGCCAGAGAGCCACTCGGGGTAGAGGGTTATAGAGTAAGAGGCACAGTTTAGGCTGATGTGTGGAGAAGATAACGGTTAATCACAGACTTGGACAGGTTAAGATTACAGTGATCAGGACGGATTTCATCTTGGAAATCCGTTCCACAGAGCAGTGTTTCACAGGAAGAAGCTGCCTGGGTGGAAGATACATCACACAAATGTAACACGAAGGGAAGGAGGGTGGTTCGCTACAACCTGCGTAGCATGACAGCTCCTAACCCTGAAGGCTAGAACTGGTGGAGCCAAGGAATGTAGTTCGTCTAAGAACCTTACATGGAAATAGCGATAGAGCATTCAGAGTCTTACGACGTTTCGTCTGTGGGTTGATGGGCTGTATCGTGGAAAATAATTTGTCACACACAAGTATGCGGAAATGCTTTGGGACTCTATCGAGACTGAAAAGTAAAGACTGGGGAAGCTTCTGCACATATATGACAGCATTAGTCTGTACTATTATTATGAGCTTGGGGTTTTTGTGGTAACAGCCCGCATATAAATAATCTAAATAATGATAACTCCTCATGTCAGAAATTCAGACAGAAGGCGATCTGGTCATAGTAACAACAAAGATGAGGAAACCAGTCCGTATATAAATAATGTAAATAATGATAACTCCCCATCTCAGAAATTCAGACAGAAATTATGTTTATAAAATTCTGCGAATTATGGAGCACTTTTAAATGCTATTTACACCGAATTCTTCAAACTAAAATCAATTTTAATTCATTATGCTTCTAACGAGTAGGTGGGTTGTACCTTTTCATTTCCTTCATAAAATATACATTAATGAACATTTTACTGCGTTGCAGTTACGTAAAATGACACTTTAGTTCTTAATGGGATTATTTTTTATTTTTATCTTGATATTTTTATTCGATCTAATTTGATTGTTTTGTTTTAAGGCATATTAACCTCAGTGGGTCATTTAATGACAACAAAATTTTTGAAATAGATTCATAGTGATAGTTTGGAAAATATACATATATTTGAACCATTTTTCATGTACTCATATTTTTTAGTGAAATCCAACTTCTTAAGGATGTATAGCTGTTTGTATTACTTTTTTTTAAGTATTGCTGATAATAATTTTTCCTTAAAAAATTATTGCTATTAATAATTTTTTTATTGCAAATTATTCTGGTATTAAAACCTATTTTTACACAAGTTTGGGTGTTAACTATTTACCCATAGCTAGGACCCTAACAGGTGCTACCACTCCGGGTAAGTTTGGACCTGGGAACATCAGCAATTAAGAGGTGATTCCACGCTCCTCAAAACCTCATAATCAGAGGCCTTGCTTTTGGACATAGTTTATCGTCTTACCCAGGACGCGGATGTAGTTTATCGTCATACCCAAGACAGATTTGATCTTAAGACTATTTTTTTTTTATTAAAATTCATCCAATTCAAGGTCCAAGAGACACTAAAAATAGAGGGTTACTGAATGAAGCGTGTGATATAAACGTAAGAGGAGGATAGATAATGGCTGACCCTTGATTTCAAGATGTTAATATTGTGGTGTTCTTGGAAGCATCCACGTGGGAGTCTATTCCATAAAGTAGCTCTTCTTGAGAAGAAGCTTTCGGAGTGGTAGTCCCCTAAGACCAGGTCTAGTAGTCATAGACAACAAATATAAGACCTATTAGAGTGTAGAGCAGATGTGGTTGTACCAGTAGGCGACATACAAAAGACAAAAGAAAGCAAAAAACTGAAAATAAATAAATAAATAAATAAAATCGGGACCACATCCGGGGTAAATCGTGAAACACATGAAGGTTAAAGTTATGACAATAATAACCATACCAATGGCATTTAAGGTCATGGCCATTATAGCCATACCAATGACATGTAAGGTCATGGCCATTATAGCCATACCAATGACATTTAAGATCATGACTATAATAGCTATACCAATGACCTTTAAGGTCATGACCATAATGGTCATAATAATGACATTTGCAATGATCGCAAACAACTGTTGGAACTGCTAGGTAACCATGACATATTTGGGAAGGATATTCGAATAATCCAGAAACTAAACCGCCTTCCCACGGATAGATAATGAATTCAGTAAATATACTAAAATAGAACTAGCAGGATTCATTATTGAAGGTTACAATCTTGACAATATAAGATATGCAAATGACACAGTTTTGATAGCAGACACAGAAAAGAGACTACAAAAATTCCTACAATTCCTAATCAATTGCTAGAAGCCGGAATGCATGATTGTTAGCAAAAGGGACAGCCGAATATGGAGAATTGGAGATACCAAAATCAATCAGGTACGAACAGGTAAATATATGGGGAGTGTTTTAACAGAGAATGGAAGATGCGA